TTTGGTCTTGGATGTTTCATTTGATCTTGGATGTAGTAAGCGACGTACGAAGCACAGGGCCCTGGACTACAAAAAACATAAATACAGCTTTGATAACCTAGAGAGGATGTTGGCACCTCGAGTTGTTGAAGGAAAACTAACTGATGGCTGCTGGCTCTTTTCTCCAATCTCCTGGATGTCTTGGGATACGATGCCTTTGTCCCGTTGGAAACAACAACAACAAAAAGGAAACAACTTCACTGAAGTGGGGGAGTCCTCTACAACCTACAAATGAAGAGTGATCCTGGAAGAGCTGGGCCACATGCTGGTGACCTCAACAACTGCAAAACGGCCTAGTACCCGATTCTCAGCCACTTCTGCCATTGATATCAAGATACAGTAGTCTGAACCAGAGTGTGACCCACACCCCACCAACAAAATGAGAAGAAGGTGCAAAAGGCGCACCTCCAGGATTGGAACAGCAGCCCCATGCACCGGGTGTGGAAAGTGTGCGTACAAAAACCACTCTAGTGTGGTTACCACATCTTGCTGCTAATGAGGATGCAAACAGAAGCACACACACTAAAATATACATTTTGATCATTTTAGTGATCATTTCAGTGGTTATTTGGTCATTAAATGGCCTTTCTGGCCACTAACACACTATTTGTGATTTTCCTTTTGGCCATTCATCCCCCCAAAATAAAATAAAGTAAAAATAAATCATTGTTACTGTTACTGACCTGCAATGATTAAAAATATATATTAGGTTTCATCATTCATATGCTGAGAAAAATTTGAACTTTATTGCTATTTTCCCCAAAAAACATAGTAATAATACGTAATCTGACTGGTATGCAAAGGGTATAATTTCTGAATTTGAATTATATTTTGGTTTTCATGACCAGGACCGGTGCTAATTTAAAAAAAATCAAGTCAATGAAAGTAGAAAAATGTTTTAATATATATAAATTTTATAGCATTTTGTAAACATAAATAGGGGGTGGCCATTTTTGGCGACAAACAAGCTGAGAGGGAGTTTTTTTTGTTTTTCTGTCACTGCAGAAAAAAATAAAGATGCATATATAATCATTGATACTGTTAATTATTGCTATGCATCTAACCTCCATCATGGTTAAAAAATAAATCAGATGCCATTGTTACGTTTTTAGTCTAGGCAAGTAATTAAACGCAACACGAAGTTTGCCCATTCACACCCCACCCAAGCAAGAACACCAACAATGATACCTTTTAAAGTGCTAAGCAGCCATTTATTTACTTCAGCAGTGAGCAATGCCAAAAATAACAAACAAAACTCCCTCGTGGTCCCTACGCTTCCTTACACAAAAATGAAAAAAAAAACCAAACAAAAGACAATTCACTTACCTAGCTTTCTAATGAAAAAACAGGAGAAAACTTATTCAACAAAAATGGCTTCTCACGCCTACTACGCTGCTGCAGTGAAGGATATATACAAAGTGAACAAAGCGTACGATCGCTACTTGACAAATCTATTTACAGCTATTTACAAAATGGACATA